AAAAAAAAAAAAAAAAAAAAAAAAAAAAGTAATAAAATAATTATAATAATGAAATGACAAACAAAAATATAAAAATAGCGCACGAAAATATACCTGTTGATCTGGTCGAGGGGGCTGATTGCTAGAGACCACTTGACCAGGAAAAGACGGTGGTCGCTGAAGCTGGCCCATCGGATTTTCTTGGACGCCAGCTGTCCAGTTGGATCCTCTATCTGTCTGTCTCGAGTTTCCACTTTGATTATAATCCATTCCCAAATGCGGATTTCCACCCTGGGTCCACAAAAAGTGTGCATGCTTTCGTTGATACGAAAAAATAATTGTGAAAATAGATATAAGTGCTACGAAACAATTGCGAAAGCATTTTTTTTCTTTTTTTTTTTTTGGTTTGGTTTTTTTCATGTCACGTTGAATCTAATTGTTTGAAAATGTTGCATTAGAAAAGACACGCCAACCACATTCATGATCTCTCGTCTAATGAGGAAAAAAGAGGCAAGATGCAAAGAGGATAGAGTGGTTACACAGAGGTCTTAGCTGAGGCAGATAATAATAATCCATTTTGGTGGCATAACTGGCACCTTCATTGGTTGTAATGACACTAGAAAATTTATTATTTACGAAATGAAAGTGAATGACTTTATATAGAACGTACATATAACAATTCCAACACCACTTTAGCGCTCTTGGGGATGAATATATGCACAAAATACAGTGAGAGGAACACTCAATCTCCAAGCATTTCTCATTAGTCTCCAAAATCACACAATTCACTTAACAGTTAACACATTACATATGATTATACGGGAGTCAGGAGAATCAGCAGTCAATCATGATCCACACCAACTGATCCCAACAGAGTACCCGGCCTCATGAAAGCATAATAAGAACGTGCAGAAGGCCAGATTGAAGATCGACAAGTCATATCTGACCAGAACAACTATAGCAACATGCATATATTCACACTGAGCTGATTGCAAAAAATGTAAGGGCTAACCTGATATAGTGATGGGGGCAAAGGCTGATTAGGAGGATGTGGCAGTTGGCCCTGTGGAAATGCAGGCCCCATACCACCATGAGGTTTTGCAGCTGCCTGTAATTACATTAATTACAAAAGTAAGCCAACAGCAAGATTTTTTTTTTATTTTATTTTTTTGAAANAAAATACATTGCTTGACGTACATGAAACATATGCTGCTGCGGGTTATGCATAGGTGGGCCACCCGGATGCTGAAAACCCATATTCGGGCCCATTTGACCATGAACCTGATGAGGAAAGCCCGGCATTGGGCCTCTCATCTGTGGCGGCAGAGGTGGCTGTAATGGCTGTTGTAAAGGCAAATACGGATTGCCGCTACTTTGCATAGGCTGCTGTGACTGTGGCGGCAGAGAAGGCACAGATGGCTGAAAAACACTATGTTGTGGCAATTGAGTCGGATTAGTAAGTTGAGAGGGCAACTGAGTTATATTAAGAGATTGAGAGGATTGTGGTGGGCCTGGTGGCATAGACATTTGTGTGGATTGGGCCACGAGATGGGCCTTAGGTTGCTGTTGTGGTTGTAACGGACGTGAGAGGGTGGGCTGGGACTGAGGGTTTGGCGGGGCAGGTTGGGGATGAGGGTTTCTGGGTAACATAGTTTGGTTTGGGTTTTGGCTTGGAATTTGGTTTGGTTGCTGGTTCCTTACCTGGTTCGGGCTTGTTTGGCCCGGGAAGGATGATGTGGGCTGGATGTTGGGCTTCTGATTAGATATTGGTGGTGGCTGTGGGTTTGGAATTTGTGATGCTGTTGATGGAATTGCCGGAGACTGAAAAATAAAGGCCGAAAATAATATCAGAAAGATTTGTGAAGGAAATAATAAGCAAGAAAGGTATAAATTAGTCAAAAGAAAAAGAAAAATAAATGAAGAACGTACTGCTTGTGGGGGCTGAACCATTCCAAGCATAATTTGTGCCTGATGAGAGAGAATGGGATGAGATAAATCAGAAATTTAAAGGGACAATTTTCTGCAAAAATAGAAACAAAAATCTTGCATAATGTAAAAGACTATTTTGATGTCAAGTAAAAACAGAATTTTATGAGCAGTGGAAATCAATCCCTTTTAAACCTAACATGCATTAGCCAAACTCGTATGGGAAAAGATAAAAAACCAAGTACCACAAACCAATTGAAAATATTGGAATTTCAGGCATAAATTTACAATATTTACTTTGACAGGTACTCGGGATAACACTAACAGTCTTGTTGATTATAAATAAACAGCAGTTATCCCAAGAATGTGATGAATTTTAAGAAAATCTTGGTTCCTGTTAATCAGAATGTGTGGTGCATGGCCATGTGGCCATCCATCGAAGCTCTGATATTACCAACTCTTTACCAATAGATGATAGTAAAATTCTTTCCTAATTTCTATAAATATGAAAGCTTCCATTACTTCCCTTTATTTTCCCCAGGGCAATGAAGTCAAATAGTTAATCAATGATGAACGAGTAACAAAATAGGTGACTTTATCAACATAACATACTGAGATACAGCTTAGCATGTACAAGCTCATTCTCAACAAAAGGAAAAAACAAAAAACAGAATGATCACATTAAGGTACATTCTCTGCTGGAACCATCGTCTACATATAACTTGGTCTACCTCCTCAAAGAATCTGCTATTGCAATAACCTTATGTACTCAAGTATAAAACACTTGTATTTAAGCCTATTCTCTGTCCAAGAAGAAAAATATATGGACAACCCAGCTAGAGTAAAATGCATACCACATTCTCTACACAGGCTTAGGTGGCTTGCAACTAGGGGTGTAGTTGAGTCGAGCTCGAGCTTCTGATACTCGAGCTCGGGCTCGATCCTTTGTCGAGCCGAGCAGAGATAAACAAGCTGATAAACGAGCTCGAGCTCGAGCCTTGATGAGCCAATCTATAGAAAATAACATAAAAATCCCTATTTTGAGCCTTGAGCTTTAAACAAGATAAACAGCCGAGCTCACGAGCGGCTCATTTAGTTTAACAGCTCTACATGCAGCTAATCACCAACCACGGTTCATCACTATCTATACTACTGTACATCAAGATTTCAAGATCAACTTAACATTCTTCTGTGTACTCTACGAAAATTAATTGCTCTATCTAAGAATACAATAACCATCACACTGCAGTTGGACTTAATCTAATTCTAAATCATAACATTGATTCAATTATTATATCAATAGGTCACATGAACTTAACTACCCATAAAAACCTGTAAAATACAAACGTAACGAGAAAATTCTAAGATAGATAGAAAGAGAATAAAAATTCTTCCAGGCCCATTTCTCCTAAATCCTCAACCAGCAAGAATACCAAAATTCAAATCTGAAAATGGCAGTAAATAAATCAAACAAGACAACCCTAATTGAAACCAAACCTGAAAAAGCGCTCTAGTCAAAACGGGATTCTGGATAAGAACTTGCCTTGCTTGCTGCTTATTCTGCTCTATCAATGTCTGCGCAAAAATTCAAAGCTTCAAGCTTCATCCTTTCAACAACGATACCATATCGAATTTCACAAATAGAATAACTACGTGATTGTGCTAAATATAATTAGAACCGAAAACTGAACCTTCATCTGAGACATGATATCGTACAGCTGGTTCTTGGACATGCCGGCGAGACTCGGCGGGACTCCGTCGCCGGCAATTTGCTTTCCCGCCATAATTCTCTGCACGAACCCACGCCCAAAATTGAATTTTCAGAGAGCGAGGAGAGATTGTTTTAGGGCTCGTTTGTGGTTGAGCAATTGTTTCTATGATAAATTAATGAACAAAATTAATCGTCGAAGGCAGATTGTTTTGGGCCAATAAGAAGACTTGTGCTCGCTGTCTATTTACTTGGCCCAGCCCAATAATGTTCTTATACCTGCCTGGAAGCTAGCAACATGGGACCCGATCCGGCCAACATAGGACCTGATTCCTTAAAACCTTTTTTAAAAATTTTATTTTAAATATAATTATTTATATTTAACATCTCATTATGACTAAAAAATAAATGCAAAATACGAAAATTATATATTATTGATCTGAATAGGATGAGTCTCTGTAATCTAATCAATAACATCTAAACACAATGATATGTGATAAGAATTAATTATATGCATTGCCATGCTATTTAAAATAAAAGATATATATATATTAACCACAACTAACATAGTAACAAACAAAATAATCAATATATTATAAAAAGAATTGTTGAATGTTGCATAACAAACAACATCGATTCGGCGATATTGTCTTATCATGAAACGTTACAAAAGCTCCTAAAATCAAAACGATAAAATGAAAAAAGCACCCTTGCACTTGTACATTTTTGCTGAATGATGAATTTGAGAATGTTAATCGGGTGAAAAGCGCTAATTATTCGATCACTCTATCAACAACACACATAACGATTATAATCACTAACTAAAAAAATAGTGCATATATTATCTTCATGGGTGATTGGCCGAAGAGTAATTGAATCGAAGAAGTTTAAATAGAATAGTAATTAAAACATATCGCCGAATCATGAAAGATGATTACCAACACATAAGATAAACAAAGTAGTAATTAATAAATTAACATATATGTTAGATGGTCAAGTTCTACAAACATGTTTGTTTAGCCTAAAAAATAATACGACTGGATTATCTATTTTAACCATTGAAATTTTTTATCGGACATTTAAACATGAGCCTATTAGGGCTAGCGTCAGAGTTGATCACTGTATTAGCCCGTTAACCGTTTATATTAATATAAATAAGATTTTAACACATATATTTATTTTTTATATAGAAGAAAAAATATTAATTTACTTAATTTTGTTCATCATAATACTTAACTATTATTTGTATTTTAAAAATTATTGTCATATAATGTATTTATTATTAACACTTGTAGAAGTAGTGTTTTTTTATATAATGATAAATATTCAATGTACATTGTATTATTTATTGATGTAATTAGTTTAAAGTTTAAACATATATTAACAAATATAAAATAAATATTGTGTTATGCATTTTATTAAATTTTTATAATTTATCCTATCACATCATAATTAAAAATAAAATCATNAAGAAAAGAATATCGATCAGAAAAAGGTAACACAATATAGGTTTATTTATGTTAATTGACTAAATAATTGAAACAATTAGCCTAAAGTTTTTCGTCCATTATACATTGCAATATAACTTTATCAAAGTAATTAAATAATTGAGGAATTAGTAAGAAATAAATCTCTTCTATAATTATGAGAATTTACATTTTACAACTTTATAGTTAATTATCATGCTATGCAATAGACATGTAATTTGCAATATATGTGATAAAAAAAACCAATTCATGTACATTTAACAAATTAACAATTTTTATATTATAAAAAAAACATATAGCTTAAACAATTAAGATATTTTGTTAACCGACTGAGTTATATTTTAGAACAAAATACACAAATTATTTTAGCAGATATATTTTGCCTACCATATATTAAATTAGTTTATTGATTTTATAGTTTTATTTATAGACCTCAATATAGGTTAGGACAATGACACGGTTGAATGTCACCTGAATTGGTAGTTTTACGTGTAAATGAGGTATAGTTTATCAGGTTATGAAATCTATACTTATATAAAGAGTCATCCTATTTACTAGAAATAGTAGACAGAAAAGTCAAAGATAATTAATGCATTCTATTTCCATCAAGTATTTTATTTAATTATTTTATTTATTTGCTTTATCCCATAACATCGATTTAGTAAAAAAAATCTCATAAATCGATTTTAATGTCAAGCCTATAAATAAAGATTTGATCGGTCAAATTTAAATCTTATTTTACGTCACTCATAAATAAAGCAAATGTCAAGCCTAAATTGAAGGGTTTAGTTGTCTATATAGTTATTGATTTAGGTAAATACATATAATGTTTAAAGTTTGTGTAGATTGAAAAATTCCTTCTTAACTTTTTACAAAAATTCTTATCTAATTGTATGGAAAATTTGTTCTGATTTGTTGCTCTAGATGTAATCCGATTTTCGTAAATTGAAGGTTTAGTTGTCTATATAGTTATTTATTTACGTAAATACATTTAATGTTTAAAGTTTGTATAGATTGAAAATTCCTTCTTATCTTTTTACAAAAAAAAAGTCTTATCAAATTGTATGGGAAAATCTGTTCTGATTTCCTCTAAGTCTTTAATAATATATGATTATTTCTTTGTCAAATACTATCTTATTATACAATTTTCCTGCATATTATAAAACTTTCATTGAATATTGCATCTTATAATATAATATTTCTCAAATAAATATATCATGTGTCTCACACGTGTCAAATACTATATATATCCCGTACATTTTTCTTATTTATGTATATAATTATAAATTTGGATAAATAGCCTTAAAATTGTACACTCCGTGCATCGCACGGGCTCTGTACTAGTATAGTTAAACACGAGTCTCGATTCTATGTGATCCTAAAAAAAAGTTTTATTTGATACTACGTGAAAATTTAGTTATATGTGAGATCCTTATATATGGCGTAATTAATACAAATATATCTCGATTCAATCAACTGTGTAATCTAGTAAACCAATAATTGATGAGATAAATATGGCATGGGTACTAATGATATTTAAGAGTCCTACCATAGTGTACTCGGTTTATCATATATGAGAAACAACCTAATATGGAATTATTATCTACCAGAAATTCATAAATTATATGAAAAATATGGAATACTTATTAGATAAATATGGTTCTATATTTAAGAGTCCTACCATAGTGTACTCGGTTTATCATCTATACTTATATAATAAGGTATACCATTTACGAAATTTAGTAAGTTGAAAAGTCAATGCAATAAATGCATTACTATTTTAAGTAACATAATATAATATCATATCTATACTTATATAAAAGGAGATTATATTTACTACATTTACTATCTAGAAAAGTCAACTGCATTAAATGCCATTACTATTTTGTTATTATAATATTTTATTTATTTAATTGATTTATTTATTTGTTTTATTTTAAAAAGGTAAGTATAATAAAAAGATTTTAATAATAAAAAAATCAAATACCAAATAGTACAACAAGGTCCCCTTCGTTTTTTTATTTTTTATTTTTACGAAACGATAGAAAATATTATATAACAAAAACGCACAAATGTGCAAAATACACAGCCCATGGCTGAATAATACAGCCAACAGCTGAATAAAACTGGGAGGACAGGTCTAAAAGACCGCCTAGAGACGACTAGCAACGCTAGAAAAGAAACTCACAATAACACGACACCAACGACCTAACTGCAGTACGACCCCCAACGAGGTAATGTGGAACGACCCCCAACGAGGTAATATGGGACGACTCCAACGGAGTAATCCCTCGCACAGGGGCCAAGTGACCCAGACCTAAAATACAAAAACAACACGGACACAGATACAAAAACACAAACACAGACAACACAATACAGACAAAACACAAACTAAAAAAAAACAACAAAACATCTAAATACAACTCATAGTGCCCTTCCCCAGCAAATAAAGCAGATGGAACCAGTAGAGAACCAATTAATCCAAGAAAGGTCCCAAGCCCGAGGCCCAACTTCCGAAACTGCTGCCGAACGCCTATACAAAAGCCAAACCCGGACCACGAGACTAACCCGAATCATCAACCCACCTTCGACCGAGAGGACAACCAGCTCCCTGCAACAGCCCCGCACTAGCTCGCCTAACACCACTAGCCGAGCTAATAGGCGCCGGGCCCACCAATTTCCCAACACCAGCGAAAACAGATGGAAAGAGAGCTACTCGTACCTGCTACTCCCGCACCCGGACGGAGTACATCACGGCCGCAGGAGCCTCGAACCGCCCGCCGACCAATACACCTCTCAACACCACCGCAGGCCGTTGCCATCGCGAGCTCGAGCCCCAAAATCCACACCCAGAAGCCCACCCTGAACCGATGAACCTCCAAGCATCGACCCTCTGCAATTGAGTGGCTAACCATCCAATCAAAGCTCGCCGGCATCCAGGGAAACCAACCGCCTCTGATCGAACACCACCTCCGTCACAGTTTGCCGGTGATCTTGGGCAGAGCACACCTCGGAGGCGACCCTTAGCAGCAAAATCCAAAGAGGCGCGATGGCAGGGACGGCCGAGCGGTCGAGGGTGACCACTGGCCTGAGCCGCCCCTTCGCCGGAGAAGGCTAATCGCGGCTAATTTGGTTGTCGGAAGCTAGGGTTTTCGTCGGGTTTGGTATTTGATTATACCAAATATATTCATATTTAGTATATACATTAAATATTTACTAAAGTACTTATTTGTTTTATTTGTCAAAGTTAAGTATAGATTTGTTTATATTATCAAATCATAAAAAAAATATTAAATCTATATTGTAAAAAAAAAAAATCATCTAATTTTATAACAATTCTACTACACTATTTAACAATATTTCTTTTTTATTATATAATAAAATAATAATTAAATATTATATGGTGAACAACAATAAGTAAAACTGTTACTTCCTCTTATATCAAGGGATAAATTTATATGCTAAAATTAAATTTTTATTAGTATAAATATTTTAGTGAGATAATATATTTATTATTTTACAAGCTAGCCCTAACATATTCATATTTAATGTTTTAAAAGATGTAGAAAAAACTTATAATAGCTCTATTGTTTTTTAGACTTAAACGTTGATTAAAAGAGGTAAAAATTCCTAATTTTTTAGACTTAAACGTTGATTAACACCATAGAGTAAGAGTCTATATTTAGTAAAATTCCTAATTGTAATAAAAAAATAATTTTTGCTATATTTTAGAATATTTTTGAATTCATTATAAAAAAGAAAAAAAGAAAAAAAACTACAATAAAAAGGCAAGTCAGTTATATGTCGATTTGTTGTACTCCTCAAATCACATTCACAATTTGCCAGTAGTCTTGAATATTATAAAACTTTTATTGAACATTGTACATTTTTTTTGCGTATTATAAACTTTTATTGAATATTGCATCTTATAATATAATATTCTCTAAATAAATATACCCCGTGTTTCGCACGGGTCACGTACTATATATATCCCGTATATTTTTCTTTATTCATGTATATAATTATAAGCCTGGATAAATAGCCTTAGAATTGTGCACCCCGTGCATCGCACGGGCTCTGTACTAGTATATGTTAAACAACCTAATATGAAATTATTATCTACCAGAAATTCATAAATTATATGAAAAATATGGAAAACTTATTAGATAAACTACTGCATAGACCCGTGCGATGCACGAAAAACAATATTACGATTGTATTATAAATTAAATATATAAATAACATTAATCATGATTTATCCATTGTTTCTAAATTAAACCCGGTTGGACACAATCTGACCGGATGGATCGAGAACCGGTTTATAACCAGTCTAGTTCGCTTGAATAAAATATTTTCTCTCAAATCCGTCAACACCAGTCGGTTGGACTGGTAGGATCGATACGATTTTCTAAATAAATTTTGTTATATTTAAAATTATTTTAAATAAAATTACATATTTAAATAAAATAGAGATTTATAAATTATTTATCAATTAGTTTAAATATTTGAATTTATAAATTGTTTAGACATCTAAGTAACACATTTTATTTAAATTTATTACAAAAAGTACTATATATATACATATATAATAAAATGTTTACAAATTAAAATCTGAACAAACCACAAATGGTTTAATAAAATAGCTTGATCATTTCGATGACGGTCCAGTTCCGAAAACCTTATATTTATTGTACATTAATAAATATTATAATAAAATGAATATTATTTAGTTCACATAAATATTAATAAAATGATATATAAATATTCATAAATCATTAAACATGTTGACATAAAAATATTGTTAATACGACTATTTGAAGTTTGGATTTCATCACTTTCACGTAATAAAATATTTTCAATATAAAATTTATATTTAGGCTCAATAATCGATTTTGTGTGGTCGAACTGATACATACTTAGTCACCTGGGACCAACCAAGTTGTGTCAAATTTGTTTACTATTTTATTAATCACCTAAAAGTAATTCAATTAATCTGGACAGTACCCTAGTTCAATCACGTGATTGATCTGAAGAATTTTTCTTATTTTCTTTAAATATATTTAATTTTATGAAATAAAAATATTTTAGGATTCATATAATAAATGTCTACACCAAATGATGGTATATTAAGATTATAAATTATATATCTAAAGATGAATTAATTATTTGTACTTTATTCATATTAATAAAAAATAAACATAGTAATTTTCAAAAAATTAAGATTAATTGATTGATTATGCAATTTAAAGAATATTTTTAGCGTCCAATATTTTTTTTAAAGGCAAATATATAAAGACCGAGATTCTAAAACTTTTGTTATATGTTGAATTGAGATTTTATAAATATAGAGACCGAGATTTTAATGTTGTTCGTTGTTTCTAAGAAAAAAAATAAAAATAAAAACATACACACTTAATAACTTTTAGCCGAATTTTTTAAATAATAAAATGAACTAAATCCCGAAATTTAAGGTAACATTTAATGATGTATGATTTTTAAAGAAAAATAATAAAACTTACTATTTATAGGTTGCATTAAATTCTGACCTATTTTTTTGCTACTATTTTTGATAAATGATAATTCTTATTATATATATATGTATATAGATTTAGATTATTGCTTTATAAGTAAAATCGACTGAATTTGTTGTCTTTTATTTTTTTCGTCGATGGATGAATGGATGGATGTGAATAGTTATATTTGTTGTATATTATTTTTTTTATATGAATGGAATGTTATGTATTAACGTTGTTACGTATATAGTGGTAGTGATAGTCTAGATTAACGTTAAACAATGACTAAATTAGAAAACATTAAAAAAAAGATAAGTAATTAAGTAAACAATGATAAAATGCTTGTATTTATTCTAGCAGTCTGCACGTGCGTATAAAATATGTAAAATCCATATTTTGATATGGATTGTATTATGAGGAATCAACAAATTCCTTTATTTTAGGAGATATCAAATTTCAATTTGTATTTCAAATTAGATTCCCAAATTTGAATGCTGCCTAAGTCATAAAGGCTGATTCAGATTATTCAGTTTTATGTAAAAAAAAAAAAAATATGAATTTAATGGTATTGATATATGGGATTGTATGATGGGGGAATAAACAAATTCCTTTATTTTAGGATATATTCGATTTCAATTTGTATTTCAAAGTAGATTTCTAATTTGTAGGCCTCCTAATTCATAAATGATGATTCGTTTTTATGTTAAAAAAAAAAAGAAAAAAAAGAAAAAATCCAAAAATAGTAAGCAATTAATGTTGTCCTAAAATTTCTAGTTACTATTTATGGTAAATAGTAATTCTTATTATATATACTAGTACAGAACCCGTGCGATGCACGGGGTTTATTATCTCTGTCCCTTTTAAAAAGCAAATTTCAGTTAAAAATAAAAGTACTTACTGAAGAAAACATCATGTCATTAATAAATATAACGAAAAATAATCTATATATTATTGAACACTTCCTTATATACAACGTTCATGGTTTGATTCGTTGGCACGTCGTACTCACCACAAATTAGAATTTCCAAACCAATTCTATTTGTGACACGGGAGGCAGCTACATACAACTGTCCATGACTAAACACCGGTTTCTTAAGAAATAAGCCCACATGAGACAACGATTGTCCCTGGCTTTTATTTATAGTCATGGCGTAAGAGATCATAATGGGAAACTGACGACGCTGAAACTTGAAAGGAATCCTAACATCTGAAGGAGTTATAGCCATTCTTGGAATCAACACTTTATCACCTGCGTGATCGCCAGTGAGGATCTTACACTCGAGTACATGAGTAGAGAGCTTTGTCACTACCAATCGTGTCCCATTACACAGACCCATAGAATGGTCCATATTCCGCAACAGCATGACCGGAGTTCCAATCTTTAAGTACAATTCATGATTCGGTATTCCAGAACACTTTATACTATTCAAAAACTCGGGCGTATGGAGATCAGATAAAAAGTCATTATTAAAATCTGATTTGCACGTACTGTCAGAGCTCAAGTACGTACGACCATCCGACAAATTCAACGACGTCATGTACTCATTAATAGAATTGACAACATCCAAAGTCGGCGCTAATATAGCCCTGTCCTTCAAATAACTTGGATCGTCTGTTGCATCCTTAAACATTGGATATGTGCTTTCAACAATTTGAGCAATAGGGTCATCAGATGGTTGTAGCAAAATGTCCTCGGGTATGTCAATCATTGCACAACCATC